GGAACTATTTAAAATCTTAAAAGATGACGCTGTTCAGGTGCTACATTCAATATGCCAGCAAGTGTAGCCAGAAGATTGGAAAAGATCAGTCTACATCCCAGTCCCAAAGATAATAGTGGAACAGTGTACATTTATTCTATAAAATACAGAGAACAGGATTCCTGTCTATTCAAATTCTATGTTCTCTCACACATATTAAAGGTACAAAACACAGTATTTAAAAGCAGAGAGACAGAGGACGGATTTATGTCATTATCAGCCAACAGTGGATCTGTTCTTACTTCACCATACGGCAAATCAAAGGCTAGTGTAAGCACCCTTTATTTTTGGACAATTGCCAGTTGGCTGAGAGAGCAACAGGACAAAATATCTGCTAGAATCACATTACTCTTTCTCAAGAACAATATCTAGTAGCCTTATTGCAAACACAGATACAGACAGAGTAGATGGTCCTAATTACAGCAAACAGGAAGTAAAAGGGTAGGCAGAGAATTGTAAATGAATCATGAAAAATATCCATCACTCAAATTAGATAACAGCTAGTTCAGCACTGATAAAAGTGGAATCCCAAGACACCTGAATAACTAACTAGGCCTTGTGAGAAGTGCAACACCACTTTTCTCCCCCAAATATAATGACATCAAGAATAAATATAGGATGCTTGGAAAGAGACAGCTTCACTTGTGACTAAAAATACTTACTGGTCATTCAGAGCATGTCTGCAGCTTGAGTCTACTCTTATATAGTACTGTACTATGTTAGCCTAGGGAAAGAAGTGCTGGCACCAATAGTGATTGGCACATCCTCATCTTTCTTAGGAGCTGGGGAGCTATATACTCTCAAGCATGCAATTGTAAAATTTCAACTTTACCCTCTCAAGTGTGCAGTTGTAACACACTCAGTGCTCCTTGAAGATGACTCAGCACAGATGCAGTTCAGCATTCAACTAATACAGATCTTTTTGGCCCGCTTCCTTATCAATGGAAGGAGCTAGGGACACTGTCAGTCACTCTTGTAGCAGCTGCATTGCTCACCAGCTTCCTGTCCCAATTCAAAGCCTGGTGTTTTAACCTACGAAATCCTATTTCATTCTCAAACCTATCAAAAGCAGGAAAAAAATAAAAAGAAGGCACCCATTGCAAGAAGGAAAGAGAGGAAACTTCCAGTAACACATAAAAGGTTTTACTTAAATCCAAAATATTGTGAAATGCATTATTTTTGCAGAGGAACTCTTGAACATGAGAATAAATCCACAGTTTAATCGAATCTGAGAACTGTCTTAAAGGAGCATATTTAAAGAGAGGTACTTTACACAGCATTGGGACACAAATTCCTAAGCACCTGAGGGTGTTTCTCTGGAACCTGCACACCTTTGTTGCCCCATGCATGCCTCTTGACCAATTTTTTTTTCTGAGACACTGCTTCTACTACATTTTTGCTAGAGGTTAGGACAAGTTCAGCCAAAAGCAAGGATTTGCAGATGCCTGTCTTAATGTAGAAAAAAGTATCATTCAAACTACAACATTCTAGTGGAGGCCCAGCAGAGTAGAGCACATCTTTGATAGCTTTGAGATAGCTTTGTCAGAATTACCTGTTCAGGAAAGCTAATGCATCTAGAAATGTGCATTAGAAATTTCTGCCAATTGGCTGTTGTGTATTTAATTTGTTTCCAAAAGACCAATGCTTTCTGGTTTAAATTACTGTGAGCCACCTCAAGTGCAAGAGAATCAAGAAAAAAGATTTTAATTGTACATAAGGGCATGCATAGCTTAATGCAAGTGACGGGAGCCTAAACAAGACAGGAAATGCCTCTCTAATATTTTTAAAGCAAATATGAAAATTCTGACAACAAAGCCAGATGCTATCTGAGCAGTGATGTAGATTGTTCTGATAAAACTGTATAAATTTAGTCTATTTTCAAAACAGAAAACTAAATATACAATATAGCATATTGTAGACTAACACACACATTTATGAGTCAGTATTTAACTAGTTTACAAAGTGCTGCGTCAAAGGTCAAATGGTCAAATATCTTCGTTCTCTCTTGGAACACAGCCATACGGCTAATAACGAGCAAGCAGCTAATGGATGTAGTTCAAATGATACTCAATCAAGTGCAGCATATACAAGTATACTGCAGTAATGGTCCTATGACATCATAGTCAAGTTATCTGCTGGAAATCAGACTGGAGTCATTCAGCATTCACCTTTTCTTCTTCACAAGGAACATGGACGGGAACTACTAATCATTTAAGTGCTGGTTTTTTTTAAATATACAAGGTTAGTATTTCTAAAAGGAATCATTCTATTGGATATCAATTACATTTTCACTGCATTCACAAGTACTTCAGCGTAGCTACATGAGGAATAACTGAAAACCCAGGCCACGCTATGTTAAATTTGTTATCTTTTTAATAATACTTTGCTACATTTTGCAATTTCCATTATTTATACAGTATACATACTGGCTTAGATTATCCTTATTAAGCACCACAGCAATATTTTCAAAGGAGGAATACATTAATACACAGATATAGTTGATATCAGTTATTTCCAAAATCTATGTTTTAGAGTTAGAAATATCCTGCAGAAAAGCAATAATTGTTGTGAAAATGCAAAATATTTCATTGTCACTAAACAAAATACCACTTGTCAGAACCTAGAGCTGACTATATTTACCACCAATTTATAAACAGATACCCTTTTAATGTATCAAATGTAGTAATTTATAATTACCTCACTGGGACTTTCTGGATTACATCCCAATATATTTCAGGTATATGTTATGGAACTTTTTTCCTTCCTTCACTCCATTTCTAGGAGCCACCTGAAAACTGACTATGGAGAGTTTCCCAGAGCTCTGGATCATGGTTCTGGGGGGCTTCAGACAGAAAGGGAGAATATTCCTTCTCTTGCATTGTATTCCACTAAACTGAACAATCAGGTACTGTACTCTGTGCTGGAAATGGTACAGTGAATCTAAACCAGTGAGAATCCATGAATAACAATTAATTCTATCTGGGTAGAGCACAAATTCTTAATTGGGGTTATTAATTCATGCCTTTCATTTGAACTAACGCATATCAACAATGTTGTTCTCATCAACAGTGATTTTTTCTTGAGATAGTAGAGGAACAATATACAATTTTAACAGCACTGCACAAATTAACACTCATAAACCTCCTTGGATGGCTTGGACCAGGTTATCATGTTGAAGCCCCAACAATTAATAACTGAAATCTTTTTGGCATAACTTTAAGCAGAATGATGTAAGCAGAATGATGTCATCAGTACATGACAGCAATATTTAAATTGACTGAACTGAAAGATTCCTATTCCCCCCCCCCTTTTAAGGTACTGTACCAAGGCTCCTTAGGCTCTTTTGATCTGGTGAAGCTTTTGGGAGACTTGGGACTGGGGAAGAAGGAGCTTTTAATAGCTAAACATTGCTGATGGATAGGTAGCAGCATTTTTATCTCAATTGTAGCAATTTTTGGCTATTAAAGCCCCATCCCCACATCCCAAGGTTCACAAAGACTTCCCAGATAGAAGTAGAGTCTTAGGGAGCTTCAGAACTTGAAGAGGAAACATAGGAAGTTTTCAATTACATTAAATTAAATATTAGCATGACATCCTGATAAAGTATAAAGTTGTGGCAATAGAATTTTAGACATTGTAAAGTCAAGCTGTTCCTAAACCTTAGGCAGTTCCATCCATAATACTGAACTATAACATCTAAGCCTATGAGAGAGGACATTACATATTAAGAGTGTTAATATCAAAATTTCCAGGTGGTTTAAAGTAGAGCACCAAGAATTTCCAATTCTACATTATTTAACAATACCAACAAAAAGCCTGTTTTCTAAATTGGACTGTTTAAATCAACAAAATTTGCCAGAAAACACGAGTTATATTGTGTAAAGGTCTACTTGTGTGCAAAGCCCATTCTGGTATTAAAAACAAATTCACCTCCCACTCCTACTCTCGAATCTGAGTTGCTATTCAGTTGAGATTTTAGGAAAAATAAAGTACATCTTGTCTTCCTCCAATTTTAAAGGTTTCCACACTCTTTAAATCATTATCGTCAAATACTTCTATGTTCATCCGTGTCTTTAAAAAAAACTTATTCAATTAACTATCTATTCATTCTGTTAGGCAGAAAGGTAAGATACATTTTTAATTAAATAATGTTGCCTTTCTTCAGCTCTAATATGATATACTTTTCTGTGTTATCTGTAAACATTTACAACAACTTAGTGAAACACAAAACTCAACATCACGGACTTCACTGCTCATCACAATCACCAAGAGTTAAAAATGAAGATGAAACCAGCACATCTAATGATATAATCTAACATTAAAATAACATAATCATTGTTTTTGTTGCTGTTTAGTTGTTTAGTCGTGTCCGACTCTTCGTGAGCCCATGGACCAGAGCACACCAGGCCCTCCTGCCTTCCACTGCCTCAAGGAGTTGGGTCAAATTCATGTTGGTAGCTTTGATGACACTGTCCAACCATCTCATCCTCTGTCCTCCCTTTCTCCTCTTGCCTTCACACTTTCCTAACATCAGCGTCTTTTCCAGACGCTGATGTCATTATCATTACTTCTGTGCAAAGAAAAACTACAGCCAATGTATGCAAAGTTAGACTAGAATGTTTAAACTAGCACTCATCAGTGGCAATACTGTTTCTCCTATTTCTGGGCAAACGGTTTGCCTCTTGCAAAGACGAGAAAACAAGGCATCTAACTACAGCATGAACCATCATAAACCAATTCACAACAATTCTACATATGCCAGAACAATTGCGTCAGTTTAATTTTAGAATGACAGTCTCTCAAACTATCAAAAAGTCCTTAGGCATAAAGAAATTTACAATTTGTAACGGAGAAGGGAAGTACAGGACTTGGAAAGATGCGATGCTGCATCTAGGGAAAGGGGGAAACATATCAAAGAAATCCTCAAGAGGGCAATCTTCGCTTTTTCCTGGTTGACTTACCTTAAGGATATCCCCCCGTTTGAAACTGAGCTCATCATCTGCGGTGGCTTTGAAATCGTATTTGGCGACGGCTTCCATGCTCCGACCGATCCTGGGCAGGAATGACGGGATAGGAAAGGATAGGAAAGGACCTCTGCCCGAACCCTTCTCCGGGAACTCCCGGCTGAGCCTCCTCCTCCTCCTCCTCCTCCAATCCTCCGCGCCGCCCGCTCTGCTGGAGTTCTAGCTCCGTATTTGGCATAGACAGCGGAGACAGCCAAGGCCAGTCCACCCTAGGAGCAAAAGAAGAGACGGCACATTGAGGGATGTCGCCCGGATCAATGACAGCAGCCGCGCCCTGATCCCCTCCCCTCCCGTTGGCTCAACTCGGCTTTGCCGCTTCCTCTTTTCTATACCCTCTCTCTCCCCCTTTCTGCTCCGGTCGCAAGCAGGCACCGCGGAGTGGCAGCTTCAGCGGCCAATAGCAGCGCCCCAAAAAAAGGACACGGCGAAGGCTCCGTCGCTCCAGCTGACCAATAGCACAACGAGCCACACCGGCCGCCTCACGCCCCCAGGCAGACTTCCTCCTCCTCTGTGGGGGAGCGCGGCGGCGGCTGCTCAGCGCTCGCCCCCTTCCCCTCCAAAGGCAGGCTCGCTACACAAAGCCAGGCAGGCTTCCATGCCACATATCCCGCAGGCAGAGCGCCTCCTCTCTCTCCCCCTGAACGAGGCGGACTCCCCTTGGACTTTAAAGACCGAGGCTTTCGCCTAACCACACATGGGCTTACTCGTCCTGGCCCCCAACCCATCCTGAGAGGAAACGCTGAAGTCATCCTTTAGTTCTCGTCCAAGAGAGAGAAAAAAAGTGCGTTTCTCCTCCTTCCAAAGACACTCCAAGTCGCTTATCAATCACCATGTGCGGCCCAGGTTCCTTTGCAAACGGGAGGCACTTCGGAGAGTCTTATTCTCTGCTGGGTTTCCTCTCCCACTCCACCCCAGTTTCTGTCACGGTAGGGCGTGGCATGCCTCTCCTCTATTCAGAGGCCAAGGCTCCAATATGAAGCATGCATATTTAAGATTTTGAATTACATATGGAGGAGGGATCGATGCATTTTTCTTCCGAGTAAACGCAGGACCCGCTGTTAAGGCTAATTAGCTGGTACACTGTGAGCCAGCAATCTACTGTACAGTACTGTACTAGAAATGCCTCAAATGAGGGAAACAGCCTTTCCCTGTCTTTTTATTGGCCACATCGTACACCTGCAGAGAATAGTTTTGATTCTGATCTCAGAAGAGAAAGTCGCAAGTCATCTTCAAATGCTGCCCTCTCCAAAAACAGAACAGTTGTGCCAGAAACACTATTTAAACAGGTGCATATTCTAGAATCAATGGAATCGAATCCTTTGGAAACAGAATAAAGAGAAGGGTTGTGAGTGCAACTGCTTTATATTTTAAGAGCAAGGGATATTAGTTTGATGTATTAGCCCACTCAGATTTCAAATCTGAAGTAAAAGTAGCCAGCTGTAAGTGGAAACTGAAATTGTTTACATCTTATATGTTAAAGCGTGTCATTTCTTGGAGGAGCAAGAAATAATGTCAGGAAAAAATGATGTTACTATTTCATACAAATCACATTAGCAGGGAATCTCTTACTCTGATTATAAAGCAATGGTATCTTTCACCTGTACAAGGCAGTTTTTTAAAGTACACTATACATATTGCCTATAACTACACCAACAAAACACTCCTACAGTTAGTAAACACACCACGGCAGTAACAGGGACAGAATATTTTTCAAGGAAAACAATGTTCTTGAATTGGTGGGATATCATACATGCAAAAATTTTCAAGACTGCCTCTGTGGTATTTCAGCAAAGTATTTTCACTTTACAGAACTAAAAATACTGTAAGCACTTTGAAAAGTACTCCCGTTATGAGCATAAGATAAGCATAGAGAGACACCACAGAACTCATTAGCAGGAAATACTATCACCTGTCACTGAAGTTGGAGTTTATTAACCAAAAAAAAAAAAAAAAGGCTGTTTCTTCCAGGACTGTACAATAGACTTGGATTTTTGAAACAGAGCTTAAAAAAACTATTTGGTGGCAAGGGGAGATTTCTGTAGGCTCTTCAACAAGGCCATGAAAGCCTTTGAGAATACATTAAATTATTTTATTTAGTTCAAATATTTTACCCTGCCTTTCTCCTTAAAAAGGACCCAAGGCAGCTTACATAATTAAGAAGACAATATTAAAAAGTAAAAACAGTAAATTATTCAAATATTAAGAAGAATTAAGAATATTATATTAATATTATATTAATAATATATTATATTAATATTAAAATATTAGGTGAAAGCATTAAAAACAAATTTAGAAGCAACACAATATAAACATCTCATTCACTGTCTCCTAGGCAGTTAGTCACTAAGGAAATTCTTGCCTGAAGAGAAAGATCTTCACCTGCTTGAAGAAGGACAGCAACATACTATACTGCTAAACTTAAAAGAAATTTAAAACAAAAAAAGATATGAGAAAAAATATTTTAAGAAGTTTAAAAACATTTTCTGTGCAGTCTAATCAATGACGAAGTTTGTCTGAAGTAAAAGGTGTTTGACTGACAGCAGAGGGGCAGCATGGAGGGGCCAAACTAACTTCCTGTATAAGTGAGTTCCACAGCTTGGAACCAGCCACTGATAAAGGCCTGTTCTTTAATCTGCACCAATGGTGCCTGTGAGGGTGAGGGGTCAAGAGAAGAGCTCTGAAGAATATCTTAAAACCTTATATGGGAAAATGCAGTTCTTCAAACAATTTGATCTTAAGATGTATAGGGCTTTGAACTGGGTTCTGAAATGGGCTGGTATCCAGCAGAAATGTTGTAGCATATTACAGTATACTGTATGTTTCCCATTCAAAGTCTGGTCGTTGCTACTTGGACTAGCTAAAATTTCAGAATATAGATTTCAATAGGAGACCCACGTACAACGTGTTACAGCAATTCAAGAGTGATGTAACTATGCCATTTGTCATCATGGCCTGATCAGGCATCTGCATGAATCAGTGCTGTAGGTATACTTACAAACACCTACCTGGCCATCCCACCAGTGAAACCTGGGCACTAAGCTTTTCATAGGAGTGCAACTCTGTCTGGTGAAGGTTGAATCCCTGATTTTCCTTGTGAACAGAAGTTCCCCTGCACTACCTTGTGATATTCTACAGGAAGGACTAGAGCCAATCTAAAGCATGGGTTGCCATCTATCGCATCCCAGAGAGGGACTCAAAAGGATACGTAAGTTGCAAGGAAGTTTAGCAGATCAGGAACACACTCCACAGTCCAGTTCCTAGAAGAGATCATCCAGTATGACCAGGCCTGAAGCCAGATTGAAATGGATCTATATAATCCATCTCATTCAGAGATTCCAGGAGCCATGAAGCCAACAAATGCTCTACTATTTCGTGCAGGAATACAATATAGTATTGGAAACAGGCTGATAATTACCCATTAGGCATGTTCAGTTCATGGTTTTGTTTTGTTTGTTTGTCTGACTTCAAATTGCAGAATTCCTGCTCTTTAATTACATTCCATTTTCCACCAGCACTGAGCAGAAACCCTGTCTTATGTGTGAAGGATTCTGGCTGTGACAGGAACCAAATGGGTGGCAACACTGGCTGCAAGTGCATGGCGTCAATGCCACACAGCTTAGAAGGAACACTGGCTCTAGCTCATATTTGGTTGGAACTGCTTAGAGTTTTTCACCGTCACCACCGTATCTCTATTCCATTCATTTCATCACTACCAGCTCCCTATTAAACCACCCTGGGTTCACTCTGTGGAAGGTTCCTTTGGAGTGACTGTCTTAAATCCCAGTCATTTCCCCATTCTAGAAGTCAATCAGTGTTTTGACAGAACTGCCTGTATAAAATGACAGAAAACTCACTAAAGGCCATCAAGGAACAACTTGCATCTAATCAGCCTCTTGGGACAGACCATCTGTATTGGTCCCCAACCCTGGCAAAGGCTGCATGTTCCACTGTCTGAAATCTGCCAGGTAATTATCTGACCATTACAAGACAACAGAATTGCACAAATCTATTGTATATCCGGACCACGATCATCCTTCCCAGTACAGAAAACCGGACCCACTGTGTATACTCCAACACAAGTGGACCTAAGTGTGCACACAATTGCAATGGCATGATGTCAGGCATGTTTAGACCAGAGTACAATGAAAACAACTACCTCCGAAATACTCCTGCCAAAGCTTGCTACTTTACAGGGACTAATTGAAATAACTATCTTAGCATTGCAATTCCTTCAATAGTTAAAGCATTCATACATGTTCAGTAGCTGCACGATCATATTCAGCTATTTAATAGGATTTCTCAAAGTACTCTTGTTTAAATCAATATTAGACAATTAGTTAAACTACTTTTAAACAATGAATCTATTGATTAAATATGTATATATTTTAAAATAATAATTTAAGAAAGAAGTATATACTGTTGAATTCAGATTATACACATGTGCCATACTAGGGTTTCTGCACATTAAAAAGGGGGAGTGCCTTTTCAAGGCTAAAAACAGATAACACTGTTCAACAGGTTTTTATCCAACTTAAAGGACGTTCTCTGAGATCACCAAAGAGCCCTATTCTTATATTTTATCCACCACACCACATGTAGACTCCCTCCCACTGAGTTTCCATGTTTGAGTAGGGATCTAAATCAAGCTCTCAGAAAGCCAGAATGATAGAGTGGATAGAACTTCAGATGAGGATTCAGAAGACCGCAGTGCAAATCCCCACTCAACCATGGATACTCTCCATGGATCAGAATGGGAAAGCATTCTTGGAGTATCTCATATATCTTGGAAACTAGGCCCAAATACTGTCACTTTCCACAGTAAATTGCCTCAGAGTGTGCCCACTAATTCAATGCAGACTTTGTAAGATAACTCCTTCATTGATTCAAATTGGTCTACTCTAAGTGCAGCTTACTATAGCACAGTAAGGCCTACTGTAGTATGATTTACTATACTATGCAACATGATTTTGCCCATATCAGGGTTGCTTTAAATTGGAAGCAACTTGGTGACACCTACAAACAACAAGCATGTTTGTAACTGTAGTCAAAGTTGTCACCTACTTCAGAAGATTCAAAGTACATGCATAGCTGCAGACACAAATTTCAAGATACATATAAATTTGTTTCAAGATATGTGATTGTATATAGGTATTACAAATAAATTTGAACCGTAAATATGATGCCTATGCCATCCCAGTCTGGCACTCTGAAACACTCCAGGCAAACATATATTCTTAATAGAACACCACTTGAAGTTTTTCCAGATGATGAATCATCTACCAGTTCACTTGGGTGAGTGCCCTCTGCCCTCTGGCATGCAATATATTGGGCACTGCATACATGTCTACCTTGGAGACTTTATTTCTACTCCAGTTTTTGAGTGTGCAAGGAACATTTAGATATCTTCTCTAAGTAGCAAGAATACTCCAACATTACCCCACACAAATAAGAGAAGACAACTCTCTACTCTTCTGTTCATGCTAAAGAATTGTGGGGACAAAATTATTAATATTGGTTCAAGCAACATCTACAGACCCCTATAAATTAGAAACACCTTTAAAAATCACCTTAGAAGCCAACCATTAACACCCATTTTGTCTTACAGTTTTTGACAGTCTTCAAAGTCTAATAAAAAGTTAAATATGAACCCCTCAATTTCTCCAAGTTATCTAAGCCTGATAAAGAACTTGGGGCAGGGAAAGTCTTATTTTTTTCTGGTCAACAGGGTCAGACTGCTCCCACATTTTTATGCAGATGGAATTGGAGAAGGGGATGTGGTTTTTCATTTTCTCCTGGGCAACTTGCCAAAATGATTTGTGGCTGTTGCCCACCATTCTGCAACATCATTTAGGGACCCAGATGGGAACATATATGAATAATATGAGGAAAAGGGGCTATAGTTTGGAGAGTTTCTATGTGAGACACGATACAACGAAAGCACAAACTGATTTTTTCCCTTACTGTAATGGAACTAATTCAATAAATAGCAGTCTTCATAAGCAAAAACATTTCAAGTTCAATAGGATTTAGGAACACTTTGAAATAGGCTTCTGCAAGATAGCAATTCATCTGCTGAAATCCTGTTGTACAGTTCCATAAAATGGTGAGGCAAACTGCCATGAGTTAAGAAATTTCTGTAGATATTACCAGTTGACTACCAAGTCATGCAATTCGGTGTGCAAAGAGATTTCTTAATTTATAGCAATTAATCTCTAAAAGCTATGCCTTTTGTGTAACCAAGCAACAGTATTTCAGTCATCCAGTCATAACTGTGTAATAATATCCATAGATAGCATTAAGAGAAGAAGAAAAAACAGCTGGAAGAACAGAGATTAAGGGTTGAGTGAATGGAAATAATGAGGTAGAAACCAGCAAAAAAATAAAATTGTTTATTGAACAAAACCATTTGCAAAGACTCTACTTTTATTTAAGATAGACATTTAGCATTACTTCTTCAATCAACAAAATATGTTCTAAGCAGGATTAATAAAAATGTTTTTTCAATTTAAATTATCCAAAAACCCACCAATTTTTTTAAATTGTGATTTAAATCACTTTGAATTAAATCAGATCCATCCTGGTTCTAAGAACTATTGCAGCTACCAAGGCATGTGAGATACTAAGCAAAAGATAACATATGAGGTAGCTGCAAACAGGGAAAGCCAAATTTATTAGAAATACAATGCCATTTATTTAATATCCTACTTGTCACCCTGTAGCTCTGCTTAGGTTGAAACAATAGACAGCAAAGATGACATTCCAGCAAAAGAATAGGAGTTGACTAAGTCATTGCAAAAAGCAATACATTCTAACACATTCTACAACAATGAATACAGAGCCAGGCATGAATAATATACAGCTTTCTCATAAGACTAATTTTGCTCGTGTACTTCTCAATTTTGCTCAAACTGCAGTTTTCAGAAAGTCAGTCAGACAAAAACTGGGGAAGGACGAAGGCATCATCATGATCAGCACCTCTCCTAAAGGCCTCAGTCATTATCCCCTTTTGATGCAAGTAACTTGCCAGATATACAGCTCAATCCAGAGTGAAGCTGCTGTGAAGAAGACAAATCCTATTTTAAGAATCATTAGTAAAGGGATTTTTTTAAAATGGCAGTATCATAATGCCTTTAAATGTACATTTTGGCAAAAATCCTGTTGTGCAGTTATGTAAAAGGCATAACTTTTAGCAGAGAGTAGCCAGAAGTTAATAAATTTCTATAGGCATTACCCGCTGCCTGTCAAGCCCCACAACTCAGTCAGTATGCAACAGATAATATATTCAGAGATTTCTTAACTTATAGTAATTTTCTGATAAAAATTACATCTTTTGTGTAACAGTGCAACAGAGTTTTGCCCACTATGTGATCACATTTGGAAAACCAGGTGCAATTCTTAATGCCACACCTGATAGAACACAGTACAATTTGAAAAGGTAAAACAGTACAAAATTACAAAAAAGCTGAAGCAATCCTCCAGTGAAAAAGTTATAAGGTCTGAAGTGGGTTATTTTATCCAGTTTAAAAAAAAAACGCAAGCTGGGGAAGAACAAAACAGAAAATTTATTCAATTAGGGGCACTCATTCTAGCCTTGCCATGCCTGCTTGCTCTCAGCACTTAAAAGGAAAGAAGGAATACACTCTCCTCTATATGTAGCAGAGAAACACTGTTGGCTGCCAGAGAAGCTAAACATTCTATTTGTTTTCTGGCAGTCCACTCACTCACCTAAGTGATATTTCTAATTGCCTATGGAGAACTAACTGGCAATTTAGCTAAAAACAAGGCTGGTACATTATACTTATCCTATACTCAGTATACCTTACCAACAACTATATTTAACCCACAGACAAGGTAAAAGAGAGTGGGAAAAGAAGGCTTGATTTAGCACATTATTACTACTTTTGTTCCACACAGATACCTCCGTGTTAAGATTACATATTACTGTACATTCTTGCATATATCATCCACCTTATAATATGAGCAATTGTTACAGGGAACATTCCCCTTCTCCTTGAAAGAACAGGAAGATCAATTTTCTTTTTCTAAGCAACCAAATCATTCTCATTACTATTTGGGGAAGTTATCTGAAATCTTCAGTGACAGGAACAATGGTTCATTTCCTCCTTGTGTCAGTAACAGAATATATTCAGTCTAGGCTTATAAACAACCATCTTTTGGGGACATCAATGTTCTACAAGTTATGTTAAGTATACGTGGACCAACAAAGAAAGTTTGAAAAATGCTAAAAAAATTTCTGGATTAATTTGCATGACAACCCTTGCTTTATATAACTAGCAATACAGGATCAGCATTTGATATGGTTAAAGTTATTATAACAGGAAAGGGGGGGGGTCTTAAGCAATTTTCTTCCTTACAAAGTGATCACACCTTTTATACAAAATACAAAAAGAAGCCACATCATTAGAATTGTTGCATAGGCTATAAAATACAACTGCAATATGTTGGACCATTTGGCCTTGATAAACTCTTGAGACTTTTATTCTGAGGAGATGATATAATCCTGCATTAATTGGGTTCTATAGATTTACACTATGGTTAATACTGCAGCAGTAACACTATAACATTGGCTCAATTTGGCTGCAGAAAATAATCCATAAAACAAAATCATATGGAGCTAGCCATTTCTTCCCTAAAGCTGCAACAGAGAAAGAATACATGTCAGAATATCTTAAGGTGTCAGAGACCTCTAAGGCACTATTTTGGCATGCAGGCAGATCCTTTGGCAACAACACCATATCCAGCACAAAGAACGGGACATACGGTATTAATGGCAGTACATATTCAAGACATGCCTAGCCCATCCATGTACATGGTTTATGCATGGGAAATCCCATAACAGTGCATAACCCTTGGCAATATGTTTCACAATATAGTAGAATCCTTCCAAAGGAGAATTCCTAGTCATAGTTTACTCTTAAGTAATCACACTGAGCTCTGATTAAAAACAAATCAATGATATTTTATATCTCTCATTGGGACTTCGCTAAGAAATACTGTACCAAGAGTAAGAGCTGTATGTACTGTATAAAGTTTTTCTTTAGGCCCAGGTGTTCAGGGCACAGCTGCCTAAATATCCCTATCAATGCAATATAGCTATTTCTACTTTTGCGTGTCGAGTGGGCACCAAGTCGCATGCCTGAAGCTTCCTTAGCACACGAATCCATATTCAACAAAACACGCCACAGCTAAGCACATTTCTTGGGAATATCACCTGCTTATATTCTCTCTAGTTAAGTTCACAGGATCGATTGGGCGATACGAATGACGGTTCAGTTTAACTTTGAAAGTTTTGCTCTGCACCCCCTCCACACACACATTTTATCGAAGACTCAACCAAATTCAGTCCAGCTTCCGCTTTAATATAAAATAACACTTTCCGGCAGAATTTCATTGAGCGGGCCATTCCCAAAACGGAAACGATGAATTCAGCAAACATCCTTACCAGCACACGAAACTGCCTTATCTACCGAGGCAGACCATTGGGTGCCCCCCCAAAAAACGCCATCAGCGGGGGCAGGATTCCCTTCCTAAGTCCACCACGGGGGGAGAAGACAGACCTGCCTCACCCCCCAAACCTCCCCCCCCTCGGGTCTTTCCTCAAGACGGGAACAGACACTCATACCAGTAGCAAACCGTCAAAGGAAGAAAAAAAAGGGGGGGGAAACCAACGTGGACGCACGTGAACAGAGGCCTCTTCCCTCTCCTCCCCGGACACCGAAATTCGCCCGCCCGTGCCCGCGCCAGGGCCCCCTTGACAGCCAGGGGCGGGACGGAGGCAGGGGCCGCCCGCCCGCTCGCCCGCCCGCCTTGTCAGCGGCTCGCCCTAGACTCCCCGGCGGCTCCGAAGCCTTGCGGGCGGGCCCTCCCCCCCCCTCTGCCTTTGCTGAGGACCAGCTCACCGTTAAGGTCCTGGGGCTCCGCACCGAGCGGCCCCCTCACGCTTCCTCTTCCCCACTCGGCAGCTTCTTTCGCCCTCAGCCGGAGCGCCGCAGAACAGCTTCCGCTCTACGGCCCTCTCACCCGCTTGCTCTCGCGATACCACCCCACTGGGACGGGGTGGGTGGGAACGAGACCTTCTTCGCTGCAAAAAAAAACCACCACACACAAAAACTCCAAAAATCAAAGGACGCACGCGTCAAAACTCTACCGCCGCCACCGGCTAACCAGGAGCTGCCATGGATGTCCCTAGAGCACATGCGCTAAGGGTTGCGCGTTCAGCGGTCCACGAGCCCTTCCACTGAAGCGCTAGGGCGCAGGCGCGGATCCCCACAACCTTAATTTGGCTCGTTTAAAAGAGTTGTGTTCCTTCTTGGGGTTTGTTTGCCGCTTGTTCCGGGACAGCTGGTGTCACGTTGTTAGAATAAGCTTCCTTATAGTCGTGGCATTGCTTCATCCACTACAGTAGTGTCTCCAGGGTAGACCCAGGACCATTTTCGCTCCCTGCAGATGACAGGGTTAAATCCGGCAGATGCTGCAGATGGGGGATTGTGGGTGCAAAGGACCCACCACGTCGCCAGCTTTTTCTTTTATCTCCGAAATTAAGTTTTAAAAGCAGAAACACCGAGCGGAAACTAAGTAGAGAAGCCCTGGAAGAGGCTGCAGTCACTGCCCAATATATTTTGAAGTGCTGAGTCCCATTAGTAAAGCAAAGAAGAACAGGGATCAGAAAAAGAGATCATTTCTGTTAATGAACCTGGCCTTTTATATTCAGATTCTGTGGTAGCTGTGGAGTCCAAAACTCCCAACAAAGATGGGACACAAATTTTACCACCAGTAGGGGCCATATCAAATTTATAGGTTAATAGTATGGTTTGACATTTATGAACTGATACTGGTATTTCTGGTGATATCAACTTAACTTTCTGGATACATTCAGCTTAGACCAAGGATCCCCCCCCAAAAAAAATCTGCATCCAGATGTACGTTCATGCCATTTTTCACATTAAACAATTTTGTTACCTCTCTTTCCAAACAATGGGAGCCTCACCAAGTGAAATGGCCCAAGGCCTCAGAGTGCCCAGGCTTTGCTTAGATTTATCTCAACTGGCAATGGTCTCCATACATTCAGTCACAGACTGGTGTTGAGGAAGAATAAAAAATCATCTCTTTAACTTACAAATTCTTTATACATATCAAAATACAAACAAAACATATTTAGGAGGCAACTCGCAGATGATGAATTATCTGGTGAGGACTAAGGTAAAAAAAGCAGAATATAAATGTGCAATTGGGTTCTTTTGAAAGTTGTCGCAGTTCCTCCGTTTTGGCGGAAAGAAGGGATGGACACTTTTAAAAACTATTCTCTATTTCAACTTTATTAATTTGTGGGGTTTCAACCGTAACACCAACAGGGTCAAAACATGACAGATCTGGCATCTGTCCATAACTTGACAACATTGAATGTTCCTGTACAGGGGGATGATTCACTGCGGGGCTGGACCAAACCGCTCTCAATCCGTAATCTTACATAGGGGAGCACTCCGCATCACGCAAACCATTCCACAGCATGGGTGACGTGCCCAATCGCCGTCCTTCGGTGGGGCATTGTAGATTGAATCTGGACGTATCACTTTCCTCCCGCAACCTTGCCCCCCCCCGTGGAAAGACAATGACTATCCATTAATGTGTTTCGAAGGTGGTATCTCGTTCACTTTTCTGTCTTTGGGTCAGGCAGCAAGCCTCCGACTCTTAGATTTGGAAAATCCTTCAGAAGATCCCATGCTTTCTCATATTCTAAATCGTTCTTTTCCTTCTCCACCTCAGCTTCATTCTCCTTTCCCTCTTATTCCAGTCTACTTCAAACCTCCTCTCTTCCCCTTCTTTTATATACTCCTCCCACATAGAGTTTCAGCTCCTCACCTTTGCTTCCTTCTCCTTCCTCTACTAGGCAAACCTCTACACTCCTTTTCTCCTCTACTAAGGTTCTTTCCATCTCTCCTATATCACCCTTACTGACTCCTCTTTCCTCTTTTGATGGTTCTATTGGTGAGGACGGCTCACTTGCCTCCTGCTTTCCTTCACAAAATTTTAAA